TGGGAAGGTACCTGCAGGGGTGGGAATGTCCTTGCAGTGGGTGGGAAGGTGCCTGCAGCAGCAGTTGCAGCAGAGGATGCCAAACAGGTAACAACTAAAGGAAGAGAGACCTGCTCCTCTCAGTGCATTGCAGAGGACGGAGGCACACAGCTCACACCTTCACGTGCAGATTGGGAGAAATTAATGTTTGAAAAGATGTTAGACTGGAGGGGTTGGTGATGCTTCCTTGGAGCGTGTAGGCAGCCCTACTGCTAATGCTGCTTTTTAACTACCTGCACAAGCAGCTCCTGTCTCTCCAACTAAGACTTACACCTGTTTATAGGCTCTTAGAGCTGTCAAGCTCCCCACATTGAGTGCAGATGAAAAGAGGAGCATTTTGTGCCTCTATGCGTGTGCAAGCAGGGAAGGACCATTTCCACTTCTTTCCAACAAGGAGCAGAAAGCAGCAGCTGAAACAGGCTCCAGGTATGCAAAAGGGCACATCACACAGGAGAATTAATGCAGGAACCCCTTGCTCCAGATGCCAAAAATGTGTTTGTAATGCAGCAGGAGCAATTAATGGAAGAACAATGAATTGAGGCAGTAGAGTCCTCTCTGGCTGAGGGATTTGTTTAACTGCACATCACTGGAGGCTCGGAGGGTGTCCCAGGGATGCCTCTGCTTGCCTGACCCTAAATGCCCAACTCCCTCTTAATCTTTTCCTTAGATATTGACTAGTACCCATTATAGAGATAAGATATGGGATTAGACAGACCACTTTTATTCCCCAAGCACTAGAATAACTGGGCTGACTCCTGTTGGGATGCCTCAGGTTCCTGTGGCCAGACCACAGGCAGCCAATTCTTTCTTTTCTTCTAATTTTTCCTCTTTATTTTCCCTTAGAAGCCTTGTTTGTGCAAATAGCTGTGTGTGGCCTCGAAGAGGAAGCCCTGCTGATAAAAGGTGATTTCCTCTCGCTGAGCCCTCCCACCCCTGTGCTCAGCCTGCCCTTGTGCCCCTTATTTAGCTATAAATATCTGCTGAGTTTGGGAAGCTGCAGAATGAATTTTCCTTCAAGGCTTTGCACACATTGCAATGCATTTTGCCAAAACCAGTGTGGAAACTGTAGAAAGGAGATGTGAAAGTGGCTGAAGGTTAAACGGGGGGCAACAACTGAATTAAATTTGAGTGGAGAATTTCTGGTGTTCATTTCTTGGGCGGAAAAATATTTAGTTGTCTTCTGCATTTATTAGACCCCAGGCTAGTTCTGCAAATCCCAGCTGTGCCTTTCAGTCCCAGCCATGGAGAAGGACAAGCCACGTGTCTGTCTTGTCAAAGCCCAGCCCAAACATGGGGGTATCACAGCTCAACTTTTGTTCTGCTGAGCTGCTGCAGATCATTGGGTGTCATCCTGGAAACATAAAAGGAATGTTTGAAAGCACCATTTTGGGAAGTGCCAGCCCAAACACGGGGTGCTGGAGGACAGGAAGCCCAGGGGGCTCAGGCACTTACTGCCCTTGGGCAGTTGTACCTGTGTGCTGATTGAGTATGAGATGGCCAGAAAGAGTTTACAAACCACCTGCAGGCTCCAGTCTGTTCCCATGTCTGTGAAGAGCTCTGAATACAGAATCTCCTTCTTTTTCCTTTTGTACTTTAAGATTTTTTGATGGGGAATTAATGGTCAGAAATAAAGTTGTTCCACTAAGCAGGTAGTGCTTAAGAACTTAGGAACTTAGGAAATCAGTTTTGCATCTCCAAGAAGAGCTTCAGTTTTCCTTCTTGAGTAGCCAAGAGCATCCCAGGGTCCCACCCTCTCCACTGGGAACAGCCTCCACTTGCTAAATGGCCTTGGCTCCAGCGGGCTCCTGTCTCACGCTGACCTGAGCTGACCTGGCCGTGTGGCTGAGGCTGTGCAGTGCCCCAAACACCACTGCCACTGCTCACACAACTCCAGCAGCTCCAGGGGAAAGCCACGGTGTCAGCCTGTGGTTTTCAGCATGGAGCAAAGGGTGAAGGCTCCCCAAAGGCCAAGGAGCAGGACAGAAGAAGTCACTCTCCACGTTTATTTTTGTTTTTATTTTAGTAGTCGTGCTGCTTATAAGTGGAATCGTCTATGTGCTGCCATGGAAACAGCAGCTTTGGTCTCCAGCATGGTTTGCAGCCATCTACAAGGAACAATGGTTGGTCTGTTTGTGTAAAATCATCCAGAGTGGTGCCAGGTGACCGAGGAAAAGCCACACTCGGACAGGACGGGATGTGCTTGTCACACCGAATGATGGGACATACAAGTGCCCGCAGACAGGAGTGGGGATGTCCTGTCTGGAGATGTGCAAAATCAGTGGGAATCCAATGGGTTTGAGTGTTTGATTCCCAGGGCCTGCAGCACTTTGCCTGGGATGCTCACTGGATTTCACACTGTCAGCTTTTCGGTTCATGGGAACATGGGGCTCTCTGTGCAGGAGGATGTTGTCCTTCCTCTGCTAGGAACAGGTAGACCTGTGTGCAGTTCTGGGCTCCCTAGTACAAGAGAGACATGGAGCTCCTGGAGCGGGTCCAGCAGAGGCTGCAGAGATGATGAAGGGATGGAGCATCTCCCTGATGAGGAAAGGAGGGAGCTGGGGCTGTTCAGCCTCGAGAGGAGACACTGAGAGGGGACCTGAATAATGTCTGTCAGTGTCTGCAGGGAGGGGTCAGAGGATGGACCAGGCTCTGCTCGGGGGTGCCCAGCAATGGGACAAGAGGCAACGGGCAGGAACTGATGCCCAGGAAGTTCCACCTGAACATTAGGAAGAGCTTCTTTACTGTGCAGTGACCGAGCACTGCAACAGATTGTCCAGTGAGGGTGTGGAGTCTCCCTCACAGGGGATATTCCAGAACCATCTGGACACAGTCCTGTGCCATGTGCTCTGGGATGACCCTGCTGGAGCAGGGAGGTGGGACCAGATGAGCCTCTGTGGTCCCTTCTCTAACCTGACCCATTTTGTGACCTGCTGGCTGCCAGCAGAGGCCAACCTGTCCACCCTTTAGAGATCCTTCAGCACCATCTGGGCAGATTTGGGCTTCTTCATCCTTGGGATCTGCCTGGAAGGCCCACACAGGCAGTGTAGAGGCTCGGGACTTTGCCTGCTTAGTCCATGGAGAAGCTGATTTCTCCTTGTCGGCAGAAAAAGCAGCTCAAACAGCCTCCTAACACATGTGTGCATTGAACCTGCTGAGCTGAGCTCGTACACCTGTAGTCCTTCTCCCAACACTCCCCCAGCCAAGCACAGCCCTGTCTGAGCCCTGTCCAAGTCCTGTCTGGCAGGGCTGACAGTCATTCATTTGAGCAAACTGGTGAAACCCCTTAATTTCTGCTTGTGCCTCTATCTTGAGCTCATTTTCCTCTGAGATCCCCATGATTACACTTTATATGTGTGAACGTTCAGGAGAAAGGATTTTGAAGCTCCTGAGCTCAGATGCCAGAAGAGAAGACACTCATTTTCTGGGAGAGTTTGCAAGGGTTAACCTGATTGCAAACACCTCATTCAGCCAAGCAAAGAAGAGAAAAATTACTTGGCTTTAATTTACTTTGTGTTCAGAAATATTTCATAAAAGAGGGGAAAATAAATTCAGGGGGGCTTGTGGGCATCCTGAGAGCAGAAAAAGAGGTAAAATTAATCCTATCAATAATCCATGATGAATGATTCACTCAGCTTTCTTATTCAGAGTTGCATATATTTATCCTTATTCACGCGGAGATGCAGAACTCATGGAATTACATACAGGCTCATATGCATATAAATGAGGAAGCCCAGCAAGGGCACCATATCCCAGCAATTCATCCATGTGCTCTGTCGGGGTAAGGAAGGGAAGGGGCCTGTGTTGCCCTCCCTCCTGGCAAGGAACAGTGATAAGGAGAAGGGTTCCAAAGCCAGCCTGTCCTGTGTCTGATGTGCTCCTTGCTGCCAGCGGGAGAGGTGACACCGAGGTCCCCAGCCCTCAGCTGCCTCCACGCAGCTCCCCTGCACTGAGGCTTTCCTCCCTTTTGCCGGTTTTTACTGGAATCTTCTCTCTGGTTTCAGTGGTGTGGTCCCAGCCTCCTGGCAACAGCAGCAAATGTCTCCTGCAGTGTAAAAGGACAAACCCCCGCTGGCCCTTCTCAGCACGGGGACATGGCAGGAGGCAGGAGATGGGTTTCTACCTGCTAGGCAGGTCTTTTTCTTCTAAAATTTCTTTGCAGGAGAAAAGAACCAAGTGGAAAATTTTCATTAGAAATAGGACTTTTAAAAAACAGTTAAAAGAAAATTATGCTGTTCTGTCACATTTCTGTGGCCTACGGAGAGAGGATTGAAATGGCCTCTCCCAGGAGGAGTCTCATCCTTAAATTTCTGATGGATTGTTTAGTAGTTTCCAGCTCATGGACTGTAAATGTGTAATTTGCCTCCAGCTCTACCTCTCCAGCTGTGCTGATATGGTTACCCCTTTCTCTGGTTTCATCTTTGGTCCCAAGATAATAAATATCTCAAAGGTTCACTCTGAGAGAGTGTTTCAATGCCTGCAAAATAATTTTGTGACCCTCAGATGAAGCCTGAAATATGTCAGTATTACGAACAGTGGGAGTTACACTGTTAAAAATGAATGCAAATATTCTCCTTTAAGGCTAAAAGTCAGACCTGCCTTAAACTGGATTTTAGATAGTGTATCCAGGTAGTGTTATAAATAACATTTGTTGAATAGATCAAAGGGCTCTGCAAATAGTGATATTTCATACCATAGGTGTCAGAGTTTGATTATTTGGAGGCCTGTCTGTTTCAGTATTATCAGTGTGACCCTCTTTTTGATTGCTTCAGATTTGACCTGCTTCTCACCTTTGCTCAGCTGAGCACTTTTACCAGGAGTCTGGGAACCTGGATTCATGGCAATGCTGTGGCATCCAGGACGCTCCCTTGGCTGAATAATGAATAATGTGA